CACCATAAAGACTGTCAATTCAAAGCATACTGAGCAGGATTTTGCAGGGAACAGTAATTGGAGCCCTTAATTCATCAAATTGGACAGTGGACTAAGCTCCAAGAACACAAACTCATCTAGCAGTCAAAAATAGATAAACACCCCCCCCCCCACACACACACACACTTAAGCACGACATTGCCCTCAATGGAGCAAGGGAAGTATAAGGGGGAACGATGTTACTTGGAATACTGTCGGGGGACGTGAAATGGGACCAGTTAGCAGGTCTAGAGTCATCAAAACACACTGGGTGATAGAAACCATAGTTCCAAGTGGACAAACCGAAAACAAACGAAGGAAAAACAAAACTTGGTGGGGTTGCCTCCCCACAAGCGCTTCTTTTACGTCTTAGCCGGATGGTGGCTCCTAAGTTTCGGTCCACCCCAAAACCTCCTTGAAGTTGAGGTTCTCGTCGATGATGTGGAGTCTCAAGTCACAAGCAGGTGATGTGATAGGTGATGAAGATGGCTCGTGGCCTTGAGGATGATGAAGTCTCCACTCACGAGACCTCTCCTTCCCGTCTGCTCTTGTCTCACTGACCCAAACCAGATAAGATATATTTGATAGACCACCATCGCATCCACCAAGAGGGATTGATGTTGATGTGGTCTTGGTCCGGCAAAGAGACACTGCAAATGGGTCATTGCCAAGCAGCTCCTCGAAGTTTGGTGGAGATATCAAATGTAACATAGGGCCGGTGCAAGCCTCTTCCACCTCAACTTCATCCTCAGCGTGGACGCCAATTGCTTCCTCAACCCCCCTTCCTTCATCAGAATGTGGTCTCTCCCCTTGGAAAAGATCAAGAACTTCCTCTTCTTTGCTTTCTTCATCATCCTCCACAACTTCTTCCCTCACCCTTTCTTGCTCTTCTTCTTCTATAAAATATTGGAGAGCAAGTCACCATGTAATTTCTTCAATGAGATCATCTTGCATCTCCTCGCTCGGGCCCAACATGTTAGAGCAGAAATGAGGAAAGGTGTGATCTTCAACTAGAGGACTTTCCTGATCATGATTATCATGGGAGTTCTCTGTGATAACTTCTGTATGCTCCTCAACGTCCCAGTAGCCTTTGTCATCCTCCACCTCTTCTATCGTGGTAGCAAAAAGGTGATCTTGAGCAGGATGTGAGCAAACTTGCTCCACCCACTCTATTTGCTTCGCTGAGCACTGAACAGTCTCCTCCATTTCATGGAGAAATGAGGGATCGGAAGGCGCAAGGGCTTTGATTTGAAGATCCATCTTGGAGCATGATCTCTTATGTCTCGAGCAAACTGCTCCACGAGAAGCCTTAATTGTTTGTTCGGATCTTCCAGTGAAGTGTAGCATGGCTCTGCAGAGTGGCCCGTGAAGGCCTCCATGGCTAACTCCAACTCAAATGGCCCCTCTGGTTGTGGCAGAAAATCTTCTTGAAAAGGATATTGTTCTTGAGGTTCCCAAGGGTTTGGTTGTTCTTCGTATTAGGGGGGGTTGGTACTGACATCCGAATCCATAGTCTTCTCTTCCTTGATTGCTCAAGGAGGTCTCGGGGTAATACCACCCGGATGGTGGTTGATACCCCCTATGGTTGGAGAAGCCATGAGAATCCATGTTTCAGATCTGCACCAACAAAACATAACACCCAAGTGAAAAGCAAGGGTGGAAAAGAAAAGAAAAAAGCTAAAGTAAAAGACTTTCACGTTTCCAACGGCGCCAAAAACATGACACGCTACGACACAACACCAAACTGCGACCAAGTGTAATCGCAGTCCGGAAATGCATAATAGTGGCAAGTTCTAATTATCAACCCGGGGTCTAGATCTAGTGCCTACTCCGTGATTATCTATTATCTAGCCAACTAAGTCTATTGATTGTTGTTTTAACTAAAAGCAGTAAGAAAACAGGAATTGGTTCGGTTTTCTGAAACAAAGGAAGAGTCACTCGGGAATGAGTCCCCCTACCTCTTTAGTTAGGTCTCAGTTGTAATTACCCTGGGTTGATTTACTGTTGATTAAACTGCGGAAGATCCGACAGTAGCTTGGAATCTCTTAAGTTGACCAAGCCCTCTCAGTCTAACTACCCGGCAGACGACTAGTCTTCACCGGGATAGAAAGCTGAAGCAATAAGCACAGAACTCCACTACCGGAATTGGATTCCAGTACAAAGCAATAGACTGGCTAACTCTCGTATAACTAATCCACTACTAACAAATGATGAAGCTCTAACAACCTAATCAGATTCTATCTATCTCAGGTTGCAGCAGAAATCAAGAAAAGCTAATCAGACTTCAATTAATTCACTAAAACATGCATCATTCGATTAAAACCAAACAGTATAATCATCCCAAGTCATTACAACCATGATCCCTAACACATGGAACTAGGGTTCTTCATACCCAAGTGAGAGAGGGTCTACTCCATAGAGAGAGAGGGGAAAACAGAATACAAAAGCAGTCATACTCATAACAATGGAAAGAATCTGCTCTGGGATGATGATTTTCACTCCTATGATGATCTCCAAGCTCGATTTGATGAAACCCAGCTCCAAGATCGCTTCTAGGGTGTGTTCTTCGCACTTTCTCTCTCTAGGACTCTGTTTTTGCTCTGAAAAGTCGATCCCCCCTCCTTTGGCTCGAATTGGGGTAAAAACCCAGAAATTCCCGACCACACGGGCAGGCCACACGACCCTGTGGCTTTCACAGGCTGCCCGTGTGAGTTTGCAAAACACTGAGTTTCGATTAAGTGACATCAGCCATCCCACACGGCCGTGTGAACTTCCAGGGTGCCCGTGTGAGTTCCCTGGAATGTCCACACGGCCACAAGGGGTCCCCTACATGGCCGTGTGGCTTTTAGGCATGCCCGTGTGACTTCTCAGCTTCTCGCCAAACGTCCAAACTTCGTCCAATCGACCCCGAACTCGTTCCCAAACCTTCATTCACGTACTAGGACATGAAATATCACAAACAAGCACAACCTAGCGTGAAATTGGTCTAAAACACGAGAAACAACATCTCAAACGGCTCAAGAATAGGGGTAAAAACATGTGCAATTAACGGTCTATCAGGCGCCAAATATCAATCCTGCGAAGAACAACACAGGAACTTAGATCGCATGCTCTGATATCATGTCAATCTAGCAGAAAGTTAAAGAACGCCAAAGATTTTTTTAATGTGGTTTCGTCAATATGACACTAGTCCACGGTGAGGATCTCACTCACAGGTTTTAGGGTTTGTATTACTTAATACTCTTCAACAGTTTACATGAGCAATATATAGGTTAGCTTCTCAAGCTCCAACCGAACTGCCAGGCTAATTACATTTTGGTACTTTAATTTCCACAATTAACAAAATGGCGAAAGCAATTTGTTATTGAATTCATTGTTTTTTATTGCAATTTGAGTAATACTAAAATATAATCCTAATATAAAGTGAGTATAGTAAAATATAATTAGTATCTCAGTTAGAACCTATAAAAGAAGACGAATCATAAAGATGCTATTTCGCTGTGGAAGCACGCCTGTTTAATACGATCATGTTCTCAAGGAAAACAAGAACACAAATGAAAGAACGACAGTCAAATATCCACCATCGAGCGTCGGGTGATGTTGATTTGATCGATTCACCTCTGACTTCTAACCAAGAACGATCGTTACTCGGTTCACACCTCTCCAAACAATGGTCGAACGAGGGTGTTCGACGAACAACGAGGAAACAAGGAGGATTTCTAAATTACGTTACCTCTATTCCTATGGAGATTCCTCCGGAGAGGTCCGTAACTACGACTACGTCTACCAACTTCAACTCTGCAAAGGAGATCTTTGACAGAGAAATTCTACGAACTAGAGAGAAAAAGGATAACTTGCGACAATGCAATTTGTGATTTGATTTTTGCCCGTCTCGAGCTTCTCTCTCTTTCTGTAGTTTATACCTCATCTTCGTTCTGTAGTCTCAGTAACCATCTTCGCGTCTTTGTCTCCCATGTTCACCATTCCTCCATCCGGGTGACTTCCACTTAGTGTCGCCTAATTCCCACGTGCGTATGAAAACTGCTTGGCGTGAAAAGATTTAGTAAAACGACATTGCTTGTTGTGACTAGAACAACAATGGATCAATCCTCCGCGGCTTGGGCTCCCAAAGCCAAACTCGATCACCTTTGTTCGTAAAATGACGGCGTAGCCAAGGATACTTTTTCACTTTTATACGCGAGCATGCGAACTTTCTTTCGTCATTGAGGTGGCATCTTTGCCATGATGATGTCGGGATTTCGCAGCTTTGCTAAACACACGCCACTCCTGAACTATTGTCGCTACATCGTTTTTTTAGCTAAACAACATTACTCCCACAGTGTTGAAAGGTCATTGCTTAAGAAAACAACACTGCTTGCATTGGTTTTAAAACCAAAACACAGCCGTTTGGACAAAGTCGGGGTTCACGAACGAAGTCACGTAGATTATTCCTCCCACGACATCGTTTTTAATTAAGCAACCTCGTTTTGGTGGGTTTACGACATCGAGCTTCGCGACGCCGTTAAATATTACTACGACATTGCTTATCACTAATCAATGTCGTTTCATGGCCTTCTCGAATTTACATCCACGTACCAAGACTCCATTGCTTCGTCTCGGTTTGATCTGAAACATCCTTAGCCTTGCGACCTTGTTGTCCATCAAACAGTGTCATTCTTCATTCTGCGACACTGTTCGACCTCGCGGTCAGACTTGCAACTTCACGACGTTGAACTGGATTCTAACCTTGCCACCTGCATGACATCACGATGACATCAAATTACTCGATCCTCCAACCCAGTCATCAATTTCACCAAACTCACACTGTTGTTTGGACTAAATAACGTTGATTTTTGCCTCCTCGACGTTGTTTTTAACTAAGCAATGTAGTTTCAAGTACCACGGTGTTGTACTCCATGAAACAACACCTTTTTCTAATACCGTGACATCATTTATGTGTAATTTCTCACGACATTGTTTTTACTAAACACTGTCGTTTCTTATTACACCGCTGCCGTTGGGTCTTGACTTCTCGCGGTGTTGTTTTATTTTACCAAGCAACGCGGTTTCTTATTACCTCACGACAATGTTGGTCACGCCACCAACAATGTTGTTATCGGCCCCTTGCAAAATCCTCTCATTCTTTGGTAAGGAATAGAGAGCACTCATTTTCCAACTCCACCCCCCACACTGCAAAGCCGCTCACGACATTGTTTTCTACTAAACAATGTCATTTCAAGTACCACGGATTTGGTGGACTTACTAGCGTTGTCGTTTTCAACTAAACGACATCGTTCAAAATAATCATTAAAAATTTTAGTTAATTGTACCGGCAAATCTAAAAACTTGGCCATTACGACATTGTTTTCAATTAAATAATGTCGCTCTTGGTATTATGGGCGACTTTGAATTCACGTTGGACTTGGTGGCCCTTGGATCAAGCTCGTAACCACTCCAATATTGTTTTTTTTAAACTAAACGACATCTCTTACCAATACCACAACATAGTTGATACTTCACGCGATATCGTTTTTGGCTAAACAACATCGTTTTCTAGTCTCGCGATGCTGGTGAGCCTTGATTTTCGCGGTGCCATTTTACCTCTTCACAACATCGCTTGATTCTAAATAGTGTCGTTTTTTATAAATCGGCATCGAATTAAATATCAAGACTCATTAATGCGACATTTAATTTAAACCAAATTAATTTTGGGTGTCAACAAATACCCCAACTTAAACAACCCAAAATAATTAGGTTAAACCTACCCACAAAGCTGCCAATAACAAAACAAAGGTGTTAAAAGCCAAAACACAAATCCTTGGCCTTGAAATTGCAACATGTGTAACGTTGCTTCTGGATAGTTTCTTTTCATTTATTTATTTACTAGCATCAGGTCCGGCCCGTTGGCCGGTGGAATTCGATCTTGGTGAAATAACATTCACATATAGAACCAAGAAATGAACAAACTACCTAGGAAGGAAGCAACTCAGTTCCCATAGGTTCTAGCAGCAGAATCTCCGGAAGTGCAACATGATGTTGTCCAAAAGTTGTAGCTTAGAGCACTTGCTGCTAAGAAAAATAGAAAGCCTAGGTGGCTTTGCCAAATACATGGATAATGAACTGCTAATGTAATAAACCTGAAGATAATATTATTTCTCATTCAAATTCATATTGTATTTGGAAACTGACAGATGAAATTATGTACAATCTAAAGTTCCAAATTTCATAAAAATAAAGCATCCATAAAGAACTCATATATGAGCAATAAAATGCTAGACATAAGTTTCACAGCCAAGAACTTAGTAATAATTGAAATTTCTAGAATCCAACACTACTTCTCTTCCTCATCAGAATCAACCACGTGGGCCTTCTTTTGCCTCTTGAAGTTATTCTCTTCGGTAGCTTCAGGACTTGCAGTGCTATCCTCCAAGTTTGCATCAACCAAATCAGGGCTAATTTCTTGGCTGTTGGCATGAAATGAAGTTTGGGATGCAGGTGACTTCTCATTGAGTTGGTGCAAAAGTTATTAGAGTAATAAGAGAAATGAATGAATGAATCTTATCTCTAAATGAAAGTGACACTGACCTGCCGTCATTACGTCAAGAGGATCATGTTCTATGCAAGCCACAGTATATTCGGCTTGAGGGTTGATGAAGTTGAATTGGGTTAGTTTAACATACACTTTCAATTTCATGCTAACAACTTGCTCAATCTGCCGGGGAATTGGTTCCTTCTTCCTCTGATTTCCTTGGAATAAAACATCAGCCATAACGCCAAAGAAGCGCAGTCCTTCACGCTCCAAAATTGCAAAATCAGCTTCACCAGAATCATCCTGCAACTGAAGCTTCACTCTATGCCTATATCAAAAATTAATTTCAATTCATGTGTGAGTAAAGTCTAAATCTGAAGCTATGTTTGAAGTTCATGCTTCCTATCAAATTTTCATAACTAAGACAAACAAACTTATGTTGTTCCTTTGCTATTAGTTTGTTCTATGAATTGTAGTAGTTGTCCGAAGGTGAGTGTTATTGTTTTTTGAATAAACACACAAATGCCTATTAAACGCAAATGACAGCAAGCTGTAACTTCTTTCATTTCAGTAAACCACATAATAATTTGATTGTGTTAAAAAAAAACTGGAAACTCCAATTATAAGCAACCCATGGCAAGCTAAAACTATTTCTGTTTTGATTAAATCACATATATTACAATCTAAATGAAGAGCAAGTTGCTTACTAAGAGCCCATAAATGAAAAGCAAACTACTAAACTCATTCTTCATAATCGGAACCACCTTATATCAAACATGATCCTACAATATTGTTGAAGGTCAAAAGCAACCACATTGCAACATTGTGACAGTAGCTAAAAAAATTACTTGGCAGAGCTGCACTTTTAGAGGTGGTATTGGAGTGTCCACAAAAATACTCATCCAAGTCCTCTTCCACTTTGCGAGGGCAGCCAACACAGCCCATGTAAAACCAATTGGATCGTACTTGAATGACTTGACCTTCAACAGGAAACACTTGATCCTGAAATTTACAGAAAGTTTAACTCAATAATAGCTATATTAGAAATTTCAATGATTTTTATGACTTGTAAAGAAAAACTTGCAATCTTCTCTTCCATAGTTTTGAATTCGTTAAGCTGAGCTATGGAAATTTTTTGAACCTCAGGGGCTGGTTCCTCAACAAGCAGGATAGGTGCATTCAACCTGCCATCCCTAGAATGCAGAAAAAAATGCTATCAAATTCATATCCTAACTACTAAAATAAGCAGGTAAATGCACAAACTCCAAATCAAATTTCTGCACTTCTGGTATATCCAGATTTGCCTTAAAAAATGTAGCCCCTGTGGACGATAGACAAAGCTCCCCTATTATAAGAGAAATGGTGGTATTAGTTTACTGTAACAGATTTGTGAAGGCACTGAAATGAAAAGGTTTGATTGAATATCACCTTTATATTCGTCAACAAAAACAGAGGTAATAGTGAGAATCACTGGTCGACCTTCACTGTGGGAGACAATGTCATCTAGTTGGTTTCCAATACTTCCCCATAAAGTCACCCTTAGCATCTCACCTCTGTCGATAAATAAACATTGAGAAAATTAAAACTATTCTCAAGGATGCACAAACAAAAGCAATGAAGCGAAAAAGATGAATTACAGTTACGTACTCAATCAATTTGAGTGTGATATCTTTCCAACATTTTGTTGCTGAGATTTTGGAGGTGACTGCAGAATGTTGAACCAATTGGCCAACCACATATGTAGTATAGGAAAACATGATAAAGTTAAAATTTGAAAGAGGACAGTTTGTACATGACCACCAACAAAAGTACCACTTACCCGATAAATTCTTCTTGTCATACAGCCTCTGCATCATGTCAGAGTGCTCGAGAAAGTAAAACTTGTAGGACGGTATGCTTGGAAAACTTTTCACATGTTGGACCAAAGTTGCTGAATCAAACTCTAACATCAAACGATTGGGCACTGGCCTGAATGCGTTCTTCGCAAGAGTAACCTTGAAATGTCTAATCTCATAGACTTCTTGCTCTTTCAGAGTCGATTCAAACTTTGGAATCAGAAATGGAGGAATCATAGCCCAAATATCTGACCCCTAGAACATAAATAAATAAACATAAGGGATGGCTCGTTATAGCAGAGTTAGCTATGAAACAGGTTTGAAGAAAATGTACCTCTGAATTGATGAGGACCAAGTCCAAATGCAGAAGCTTTCTAGTGTTGCAGTTTGTTGCTATCCACTTCCAAGAGACCCGAGTTTGAATGATCCATTTCTGGGAATTGGTGGAGAGATCCTTTAGCGGCTGCGGTGCCATCTTGTTCTCTCAATTTCTTATGGGTAAAAGGGGAAGAGAATGGGTGTAAGGGAAATGTTCTTTTTGCTGGAAGAACTTGTCCTTTTATAGCCTCCTCCAGCCGTGAAACCATCCCACCCACGTTTGTAACCACCGAAACATACAAAAAAGGTGGTTGTAGCCTGCAGAAAGAGTTCGGTGATAATTGTCTCCAACCACTTCCTTGAGGGCCTTTCAATTTGTCGATAACAGTGGTGATAACCGTCTGCATACCACTTCTATGAAACCCAGGTGAATACCCACCAAACGAAACAAAAAATTCAAATCTTGTGCTCCACAGCTATACCATCAATCGACCATCCGTGAGCTGAAAACTGCGACTCATTTTCCCCCTTCATGAACCCTTCCAATACTTACCTAACTACTGCTTTGCTATAGACGGAGTGACGGCGGCCATCGTGGCAGCGGACGGACTGCCGGTAGACATCGGTGCGGCGGACAGATTGGTGCCAGAAATCCGGTGCGGCAGACAGATTGGTTGCAAACATTGGTGCGACGGATTTAGGTCTGAAGGTCCTCTCTCTCACTGAAACAAATCAGATCGGGAAATACCAATACCCCCTTCTCCCCTGACGATGGGCTGGCAAATAAAGATGGGCTTCACTTAGCCCATTCTAAACAGTTTTATGTTCATCAGAATATAAGAACACTGCTAATGGCTGGGATAAATAAAAAAAATTCTATAGATCTGCTTCAATCTGCTCGTTAAAAACCCATTGAGTTATGGAATCATAATTTTGTTATTGTTTTCATTGGATCCATTCCATCATGTTTTATCGAAGGTATAATAATTTTGTTTTAATCCATTAAGTTTCCTTTACAAAATTCAATGGTTAAAACCTCAGACCATAACGAATAAAAAGGAATAAAATGGGCCTTCTTCTTTTTCTTCTTGTTGGGCTCAACCTTCATGGTTGGGTCAGATAAAATTATAAGATGGCTCTGTAGGCCTTCCAAAAGTGATTTCATGGATTCTCTTTAACCATAATAAAAGAACTGAAATCTCATAATAAGTCTAGTCTTCCAGCCGTCTAATGCAAAGCGAATGCGGAAAACAACTCACCAGTTCTAAAAAGCACAGAACCCTTGTAAAAAAAGAAGTTCTCAAAAGCACAGAACCACAAAGCTAGAAAGATTGATATCCAACTATTTACAAATCTAAAATTGAAAGTGTCTTCAAGCCAAAGCTAAAAGCTCATAACCAAGCTACTGATACGAAGAACTGAAATTCTCCGTGTATGAACACAAACACTGAAAACGATGAACTAAACTCTAAACTGGAAACTATTTATAGTACGATTTTGACAACCACATGATGCACTACTTCAGGATTGTAAAAACGGGGAACAGATTTCACCAAGAACTGAAACTTCTTGCCTTTCATTGATTTCAAATTCACCTCAAAGCTTGACCTCTCAACCTGTAGGTCATTCTTGAAAAGGGAGTCAGCCATCGACCTGAAACTATTGCTGGTGAAAATAAAATCACAGGAGTCATGTTCATCTTTCACTTTCAGCTCAACCATGAAGCTTGTTTTGCGATCAGACCAGTACGCATTGACCTCAGAAATCTCTGCTGGAACTTTGTAGGTCACCCCCTATAAATGATGAATTAAGATAAAATAAAAAACCATAACTTCTCTTCAAAAACCTTACACAAATCTGAAATGTGAAAAAGGCATCTCAATAAAACCTTGAGTGCACCATCGACATTCAAATCTTCCAGCAACTTGATGGAACTTGGGACTATAAAAGTCTGACATATCTCACGTACCTTGCGGGGGACACCATTGTCGCTGCTATAAAATGGACACCCGAATGAAATTAAAGTGATTATTAACTATGTTAAAATTATTAATAAAAAATGGAATGAATTTAATCTTATAGGAGACATACAAATCAAGCATGTCATAACGACCAGGATAGTGCAAATTCCCATAGAGTTTAGAAGCACATGAACTGGAAAAGTAGTACTCCCTGCAATTCGTTCCATATTATTAAACTTGATTTAATATAAAAAATTGAATATGTGGTACTTGTCTTGTGTTAACAAAAATAATAAATAACTAGCCATGGTACTTGTGGACAATAGCAGAGGTCAAAATGATAACAGCTCCAGTTTCAGGTTCATCCTCAAGAAACAGCTCAAGTTGGTCAACTATTGAGTCCCACACAATAACATTCACAACTTCACCACTACTCAACAGGAAACACAAACCAAATGACTACATGTCAAGGAAAACATAGGCAATTCTAAAATTTAAAATTTCAGTCTATTGCTACTCACTTAGTCAACCAAATATGAAGGTCTTTCTTCTTGATAGAAACTTGGTCATTACCAAGCTGTTCTATAGGCTGACTTTGCACCAATTGATCCACCAAATCTGAAACACGCATATGTTTAGGCTACAAAGGTAATGCAAGGCAAAGGAACAAAAGCTAAGATCAACAGAACAATATAAAATGGCAGACTCGATAAGTAGTCATGATTCTGGAAGGCAGCTTCGAATTGATCAGTCTTAAGAAACCTGAAACTAAACTTGGGTATTTATTTAGAATCCACCATTTCTTCACAAACAGAGTCGGGAAAAGCACAATGCGAAAATCTGGTACCGTGACACGGAAGGCAGTGGTGTTTCTTTGAACCAAGAAGTTAGCCAAGCTGTATACTGTGCCTTCCCTCATAATTGCTGCGAACCTTGGAAGTAAAATCCTACGGATGACAGCTTCCGTTTCATAACCCTGGAAACATAAACGAAAAAGTACTTTACAATCCATCAGAAAATTAAGGAGAAATAACAAAAAGCTAAGAATTGAGACACTTACCGCAGCATCTATAATCATCATCTTGCGAAGAACACTTTCACCACAGCCATTTTGCTTGACATCCCACATCTGCAGCACTTGAACATGCACTTTACAGTCAACATCATCAAGCCATAAGTCAGCCAATGGACGGAAAGCCATGATACTTGTTTCTCAATGTAGATAAAAAGAAATGAGGTGCTTCTGTTTGCGATGAAGAGTTTTGTGATGGGACACATAATGACAACTTGATGGTCTATTTATACCCTCAGGAGAGAGATAATGCCACCAAAGTAGGAGTTAGAGAAACTAACTGCCACCGCATCTTCTGTATGCAAGTAGTGGACGTGAGGCCTTGATCTCAGAAAGTGCAGCAAGATGGAAAATTGGTATTTCAAATATATTTTTCTAATTTCCATATTCCCGCCAGAATTTTTATTTGTGTGTACTAAAGAATATTTAGCCCAACCTAATTCATTACTTCCAATTCCATTTAACTAAAGTAACTCTGAAAACTACTTAGTCCAAAGAGCATCAATTATTTGGGTCCATGAGATATATGGAACATGCAATGGTGTTAAAAGGAGTCCAAGCAGTAAGCTATTATTATCAGATAGAAAGACTGTTTTTTAATTTCAAAATCCATATTCATTTCACAATGACATCCAAAACTGTGTGTTTAAGGAACCATGAAGATCTGGATCCTTAACCATTCTCAACCTGTCAAATTGCATAATCTGTCTACTAATCTGAACGGGAAATTTCATTGAAAAATCTGTATACCATGTAAATTGGTTAATCTCAGCAGGTTAGAAGATCCAAACTTTCTAATTTTATTAAAACATTTGGACATGATTCCAACGCCAAACTAACCAATATCATAAGTGCAAAAATAGTTCAAGAATTGTAAATATCAATAGAACTTTTTTAGCTACTATAGCATTGGATCTTCTCTTAGTTTCCCTTTGCTGGTGGTTTTGACACTTCTGACATTCCAAGCTGTTCCAGCTTCAAGTTAGCTTGCAAGTTCAGCTTCCACCAAAAGGATTGAACTCTGCAAAGAAGAGTTCAAGTCTGTATCAAAGAAGTTCTCATGTTAAATCCATTGTATTGACAAATTATAAATTGCTGATAAAAGTATCAAAGTAACATGATGATTTCACAACATCTGATAATACTTGCACATGAAAAATGATCACACAGTAGCATATGAAAACATTGTGTAACCAAAACAACTCAAATTAAATGACTACCAAACTAAGCGGATGTTGTGAACACAAAGAAAAATGCAACCTGCTAGTTTCTGTCCTCAAATAACCATATCTTGAATACTTCCATAACTACTAAGCTATCAATAACAAACAATAGAAGCACAGTGGCCGAGCAAAATGAAGTAACAAATCAAAAATCCCAATGAACACAACTTCAACAGAAGGAATAGTTTTTGTCCATGTACCAATGAATAAATGTAGAAGTCATAAGATAAGACAAAGTAGATGGAGAATGTCGACCAAAGAAGAAGCTACGTATATTCAATCAAATATTTCACGATATTCTGCATACTCTTCAGCTCAGCACCATTCTGATCGCAACTCAAAATCTTCATTCCGTGCTTTGTAGTAACACGGGATAATGCAACATATAATTGACCATGAGAAAAAACTTGCTTCTGGAGACACAAACCCACATGTTGCAATGTTCTCCCTGGCTCTTATTTATCGTCATTGCAAAGCACAATGCAATGGGATACTGTCTGCGTTCCAATGTGAAATTCAAACTCTTGTAATGATGTGTAAGGGTCATCCTAGGCAAAAACACCCTGTCACCAGCATGAGAACAGGAAATAATCTCTAGTTCAATGCACCAAGTACCCATTGTCTTCACAATCAGTCTGGTTTCATTGCATAATCCACCGGTTTGATCCATATTTCTCAATAGAATAACCGGGCATCCCAATTTTACCTTCAACACAAGTTCAGGGAAGTTAAAAATCTTCAATGAGTTTAAAAATTCAACTGAGTAGTCAGAATCAACCACATTTTGATGACCCGGATCCATATTAATAGAATCGGAACTATAGTATGTTATCACTTCACCCGGAAATTGAGCTAGTACATGATTATTAATCGAAGAGACCATGTCATGATGAGGAGCTAAAATAGCACGACCATCAAAGTACCGTGCATCACCATGATCATATTGCAAGCCTCCATAAACCACGTCAACAATATCAGAAATGGGATCCAAACTACGTCGCACAGATTACTCATTAGGAATGCAAATCATGGAATCACCAAATATATTTGTGTCCTCACCATCTCCTACAGAAAGGATCCATTTACTGAACTCGGTAAGCTCGCGAGCATCATCTGCAGAGAAACCTTCTCTAGCCAGTCGCATATTATGAACCAATCTCATAATCTTGAAATGACACCATAAATGTGATTTCTTGATAGAAAAATTCACAATATCAGATCTTATGCCTTTAACGATCACTGGCCAAGTTTGGCGAAAATCTCCTCCCAGTAGAACAGTCATTCCACCAAAAGGAAATTCCTCGGAATGCCTATACTTTACACACATGATGTCTCTCAAAGTTCGATCAAAAGCCTCGATACAATGCTTATGAGACATTGTTGCCTCATCCCAAATAATGAGGGCCGATTTTTAAATCAACTCAGCTAGGTCACTACCTTGTTCAATATGACAGGTTGATTTGGAGTCAATATCCACAGGCATGTGGAATCTAGAATGAGGCAGTTCGACCCCTTGTTATCAATAATGCAGCAATCCCTGATGAGGCAACACACAATACGATCTTTCTCTCCGATCGTAAGTTTAAACATATTA